TGAGGCGATCGTGGTCAACTTAGTCTTTAGAACCAGAAAGAGAGGTGTTGCCATGTAGGCACTTTTTCTTTTGAAGAGTCAATGGGTTGTTGTGATTGAGGTCACGGGTCTTGTGTGCACGGTATTTGAGGTAGTGTCGTTTTGAAGGGTGAAGGTGAAATGGGTGGTAAAGAGTCATTTTACGACTTAGAGGTTGTCATTTGGGAGTGACAGTTTCTAGATGGGACGGGACGCAATGTCCGAAGGGCTATGATTGTTTCTAGTGATCGAGTGTCGTGAGCATTAGTGCTCTTATTTGGTTGGTTTTGGTTGGCATGTGTATCGCGGTGTAGCGTATGCGAGGTTCTGTGTTAGTGTTTGATGGTCCGTTAGTGGCGAGGTCGCTTTAAATTATGTTCGTAGTCTCGTATGTGTTTCGAGTTGGTTCTCCTCATTGTGTGTAAGGAGTTCATTTCATCTTAGGTGAGATTGGGTGTCCACGGTTGGACGATTGGTGAGTAACATGTGACAAGGTGTCGGATGCATTCAGGTGTGAGTCGTCAGTCTCTTGTGAGAGTGGGGTTTGTTATCCTTTCCGTTTGTTCTAGTCCTAGCAAGGACATCGTTTATCGTGAGCCTTGTTCTCCATTTAGGAGTTGTGCGTGTCGGTGGGTGGACGAACCTATGTGTGGTTTGTGATGTTGTTGGAGTTCATCGGTAAAGGTTTGGTTTAATGGGTTGACTCACTCCTACGGAGGGAGGTAGAGTCTTTGGTTTTGTTGTGCTTGTTCTGAAAGTGTTCTTGACAGGTGATGTGTGAGGCACGAGTTGCCGATTAGGGATGGTATGTTTCCAGTGGTACTAGCAGTGATGGCTAGGGGATGAGTCTTGAATTATAAGCTTGAGGATGGTTAGGTGATGTGATGTGAGTCCTGTACTCGGATGTTTTTATAAGCGTTTGATTTGAGCAATGTCTTGAGGATAAGTGTCGATGTCGCCTTAGAACTACGTGATTAAAGAAAGTGAATGTGGGATTCCGTTGAGGAATAATGGGAATGATTGATTTTGATTTTGAGGTTTCAAGCATGAGACGGTCGTATTGTGTGTTTTGAAGAAGTAAGAATTGAACCGAATAATGTTATGGAGTCGTCTACCTGGTATGAGTGCTATGAAATCATTAGAGAGTTTTTACGCTGGTTGATGATTATGACGTTTGGTGTTGTGTTATTACTAACTTGTTAGGGTTGTACGATTAAAGCATGATTGGGATTTTTTTACTAAATATGTGACTGTTTAGCCGTCGTGGTTACGTAGAGCGATGGATTAATAGTGAGTGGATCTAATGGTTGTATTGTGGACTGTGTGAGATTGTGTCTGAGATTTGGACCTGAGGATAGGAACGACATTTGTGTTGAGACCAGATCGATGATGAGAATGGCCTGACCAACCATTTCTCCTGAATCAGTCCCTCTTAGCACGATGTCGGGTCAAAGGTCAATGATTGTTTCAATTTGTCAAGGATAGTGAGAGTACGGTACTACGCGTTGTGTCAGTGCGACAATGTGGATTCGGATGATTTGTTTTGGGTGACGAAGTGTGTTAGGTAGTACCGAGTGTCTGGTATAGGGTTTGCAGTTCGATAATTAATTATTGAAGATTTTGTTTTGAGGATTTGTGACCTGGGTACAGGATAATTTGTTTTATTATTCTGGTAATTCATGATTATATAATCGTTGGGAGATTCATTATTTAGTCATATTGAGGATGATAAGTTTAGTGATTGCCGCTTGGTGTGGTTAGTAGTCGTTGTACAGGTATGTAATAGTGTAGTTAAGTGTTAGGTAGTGAGTGTTCGGTCTGACAGAAATGTATAGATTAGAGTTGAGCTTGACTGTGAGAGGGACGGGGTTCTTTGTTTGGAGTTTTGTGTGTTTTTTTAGGGAGGAGTTGAGATTGGATATTGTCATGTTCGGTAGTCTAGAGGCCGTTCTTCTTTCGGGCTTCGGAGTCTTGCGTAGTAGTGTAGAGTAGACTGATATCCATTGAGAGTCGGATGTAGGGCCTAGTTGGTCTCGTGTTCTGATGTCGTGAGTAATGAGTACCCTCATAGGGTAGTGAGCATTGTGTTTTTGGGGCAGTGGTGTGTGATTGCCTGATGACGTCTGGTGTCAAAGGCAATAATGTTAGTGAGTTCATGGTTTTGGGGTTTTGTGAGATATTCTCGGGAAAGTGTGTGGTTGTGGGCCTCCTTCTGTAAGGAGGGTAGATTTCGAGGATGAAATCTTTTAAGGAGGGTAGATTATAATATGTATGATTCATTTATATATATATATAGATATTGTGGTGGTAAAAAAATTAAATGTAAAAAAAGATATTTTTTTATTGGTGGGACCCACCACAAATTGTTGCAACTTTTAATGGCCAAAGGCCATTTTGGCCACCACATTCTTTTATCTCTCCTGTAGCTCTCTCCCTCATTCTCTTTCTCATTTTTTTTTTAAGCAAACTTCAAACTTCAATTTCTCTCTCACCTTTTTGAGATTTTTGGTACCGTTTGCGGCAAATTAAAGAGCTCGTTGAGATCTTCGATTTGATCGGAGCTAAGCCTCGTTTGGTGCACCTTGGGATTTCAAATTTAGGCTAGGAATTGGGCAATTTTTGGGGCTTTTCTACAATTAACAGATAGGGGTGCTCTAATTTATGTTTTCTTCGATCTTTTGTGAATTTTTCCTTTTTAATTTGATTCTAAGCATGTTTGATTTTATTAATTTTGCCTATGTTATTATGGTTGTATGTAATTAAGGTGACGGATGTATTATATGTGTTAATTGAACCTATGATTATGATTATATACTTGGTGGTGAAGATACATGCTTAGTATTGACATTTTTGATGCCCCATGATTTTTAATTATTAAGAAAAGTGATGTTGAAATTGTGGAAATAAATATTTAGAATTTCTTTTCAAAAGGTGAATATGACGTTGATGGAATGTGTAGAATTTAATTGTTGGATTAATTGAAAGTATGTAAAATGCCATGATTTGGAAATATAAGAATAAAATATTATGTGTAAATTCATATTTTAAACATGCTTAAATGATACGGATAATATGTATGAAGTTCTATGTTGTTATGGCATTGAAGGAATTGCATAATTCATGCATTGTCATTGGGAAAGTAAAGGGAAAAGTTTGTTTTAAAAACAAATAGAATTGTTTTTGGGAAAAAGTTTTTGGAAAGTGTTTGCGAAAACCAGGATGCCTAGGAGGCGCCTAGTGGTCCGTGGTATTAGTGTTGTCTAGAGGGGAGTATGGTTAAGCTAACTAGGCTGGATGCGACGTCTTGGAGGTGCCTTGTGGTCGTGAATAGTTAGCCAATCCTCTTCTCGTGATGCCATGGAGGTGCTTGGGTCGAATTACACTAACGGTTTGGAAGTTGAAACGGAAATGTTTCGGAAATGGGGAGCGACATGACATTGGCATTGTACTTCATTGGCATACATGGTGTATTTGTGACTTGGATGACATTTGTGTTTATATTGGATGTTGTGGTTATGGTTTACATCCCCGGTATAGTATGATCCCGTTCTCTTCTTTTTTATTCTATACGTGGATTCACGGGGTCACAAGAGGTGTGTCTTAGGCACTATCTACTGAGTTATTTGCTCACCCCTTCATTATTAACATTTTTTTCAGATCACGAGAAGGAAGTGGCGGATGACGTTCCTCCATAAGTTTTGATAGGTTAGTGGACTGTTTGACATATTTTGTAATTATGATCTTATTTTATTATTATTATTATTTATAAATCTTGGAATGACATGTACATTATGTTTTGACATAGGAAAGGACGGTAACGTCTTTAGTTGACCTCGGGTTCGGGTAATGACCCGATTAGTGATTTGGACCCTCGAATTCGAGTCGTTACAGAAACTTTGGTTGCCTCCACAGTCACATCCTCGTAGAGTCGTGGAACTTAAAATCATCAATCAGGTCAGCTTGTCTTGATACATACACCATTGATGTAACACAAGTTTTATTTATTTATTTTTAAGGATTTTAACCAAAATTTCAGTAATATATATTTTTTTCGATGAAATAATGCTAATCCTTCAAAAATTATCTCAAGTAGCGAGTGGATGTTGAGTTTTATTTTTAATATCCATTTTTACTATTTCTTAAAGTTTTGAGTTTTAATTAAAAAAAAAATGCTGTCGCCAGAGATGAATATAGCAGTGGGAACAGTAAATTGGCTTTTCATTCTAAGGTCATTTTCTTTCTCAGTAGTTTTTGATAATTTTGAGAAAATATAATATAAGCTTCTGATTTGAGAATTGAGATGTTGGGGTTTAGGATTTTTATTTCAACAGCAAATAAGAATTCCAGACAGAAGAAGGGCAACAAGAAAAGGGGTAACAAAAAATTTCATGGGTTCGTGTTGATGAATTAGAGAACATTAAATAATAAAGAAAATTTTTATTGAGACTGAAATAAAACATAATTGACCCTTTTCTGGGCCCATGTAATTTTTAGGGATAAATTTTTAAAAAATAAGATACGACAATAAAATATTAAAAAAATTAATTTATATATATAATATTAAATTTTGATCAATTTTTTAAAATTTTTATGAATGTAAATATAACTATTAATATAACATAAAAATTCGTTTCACAACACATTGAAAAAAATTTCATTTTAATACTTGAACTTGCAAAAAATACGTTATAAAGTGTTTGAGGATTCTACCAGCATATGAAAGGGTTTTACTGCTCTGCGCTCATGGTAATTTTATTCTTATTAATATAACCTAAAAAAATTAATTAGAAAGGGTTTAAAAAAACTAAAGAACTGTCTGAGAAAAAAATTAGATACTTGTTAAAATTATGATAGTTTAAAAAATACTCGAATACATATCAATAAATATTCGTATAATATCGGTATGTATTTGATACGAGTACATTAAACAAATTACTAATATAGTTGAAACAATTTTTCTTTAAAATATGAATATTAAAAAGTACAGTAATCTAAGCTTTTGCAGAAGTAACCAAACCCAATGGCCTGATGCATGAGAAGAGGCCCAAATTATGACCCCAAAGGGTCCAAAATTCTTTCTTCTGAAGACAGGGCCCTAGATTGCAGGCGAGTTTTGATTGATTTGATGATTTTGTGCAAGACGGTGTTGTGTGAAGATGGTTTGCCCTGATACACCCTCGTGTTCCGCTCGCGCCAAATGTGTTAAACGCTTGCCCTTGCAAGTGCCAATTTGCAGATGGAATTCCTGAAGATTTTGGCGTTCCAGTGGTATGACTACCATGAAATCAAACTGTTCCTGTCGCTAGGGTTAACATATAGCCCTAGCACTTTTGCTGTATGAAACTCCAAATTTGCTTGGAGAATTGACATTTGAAAAAGGTTTGATTGTTGGAGAATTTGAATGGCCATCCATAAGATAATTGTGTGTTTAGGGATGATCAGTGTGGGGTTCCAGACTAAGTGGTTCCATGGAACAGGGCTGTTGGCAGGTGAGAGGTGTGAAAGTATGCTTTTGAGAGAGAGTATAAGCCAGTTGGAGATACAGACCAAATTGGGATATCAGGAAGGAAGGGTTGGGTTAGGAGGAGGTATGTGGGATAGCTATGGAAGTGAAGCCAAGAGTGAAGGTGGAAAATTCGAATTTGGACCAATTGTGGGATATTAAGGAGCTGATGAGGGTATTGGTGGGGTACTAATTGTGTGATTGCAGTGGAGGGGACCCTAATGTAACCAGTTGTCATGCCAGAAGAAGGAAGTGGAGCCATCACCAACTTTAATTTTCAGCACCAAGATGAGCTCTGTGGAATTTTGATCAGCCAAATGTATCTGTTTTTGATGAGGTATGTTCTACACCATTGAACCCCAAATGCTCTGTGAATTATTTTGAATTTGTAGGGACCAAAGATGTCTGATCACAGCAGCTTTGTTGAATAATTCAATATTGGAAGCCCTAGACCTCCTTCAATTATAGGTTTTGCAGATATTGATCCAAGCAATTTTTGCTCCACTTTTCTTCAACTCTGTACCTGACCATAGAAAGGCTCTCAAATTGGCATTAAGCTCTTTTATTAGTTACTGCTTTAGGTAGAATAAAAAGTCAAGACCAATAGGTTAGTGAGCTGAGGAGGATTGACTGTATCAGTTGGATTCTACCAGCATATGAAAGGGTTTTACTGCTCTGCGCTCATGGCAATTTTATTCTTATTAATATAACCTAAAAAATTAAAAATATATGTCCTAAGAGGAATAAAAAAATTCAACTTAAATTAAATAAATAGAGATTGAAAACTGATATGGAAAGGGAAAAAGTGGGAGAAGAATATGCTGACACTTGATAAATTTCAAGTATTCCTTTTCTTCTCTCTTGAATTAATATAAATAACAAATAATATACATTTGCATGTACATATTGAATATTGATATGTTGTAGCAATAATTAAAACAATAACAAACATTTTTTTGTCCACTAGATTTGATTTTGAAAGAAAGACTAAAAGGGTTAAATAGATTTTGAAGGAACAACATGTAATTTACTTTTGCAAACTGATCACTATTAGTAACCATTAATTATTAACTACAGATATATAGGAATTTGAAAATAATTTTGAAGGAACCACATGAAAATAATTACTTTTGCAAGGTCACTATTAGTAATCTTCCAAGAAACATAAACGCTTTTACGAAAGTCACGAAACTACATGGACACTTTATATATGAACACATGCCCTATACTTTATGGAGTCTATAAATTTAAAATAATTTTTAATATTTTGAACACTTGGCTAACACTTGATCAACACATCCTACACTCTCCAAAGTCTTATATAGAACAAACATATAACATTAATGAAAACAATACAAATATGATTCAAAATGTCAAAAAATTTCTTTTAAAAGAAAATTGACACAACATACGTGTTATGACATAATGGGGACGATGAGAGTTCGAGTTCCACTAGGGATTGTAGACATAGGGTGTGTGTTTGTTTTAAATTTCAAAAAAAAGAAAAAGAAAAAGAAAACATATACAACAAAGCTATAATTACGATGACAAGTAGGAATGCACACGTATTGAAGTTTTCTTCTGGAGACGTAGTGTCAATTTCTGTCTTGAACCCGTCATATATTGGTCATTGGTCAATGTCTTCTCATATGCTCACTAAATTGACAGAGAAGTCATTGAATATACCTTTTTTAATAAATGCACGAACTAACATCTATTATAAATTGAGAACTGATATTGACACTCAACATTTAACCTCTCGCTCTTCACCTTTTAAATTTACAACTGAAATAACTATTGTGCCATTCTTTTTCTACCATCTTTACAAATAGATAGACTTCATTTAGGAGATGAAGGGTAAACTTGACATTTCAATTATTAAATTAAAAGGTGGAGTGCGGGAGGTGAAATGAGGAGTGCCAATATCAACTCCATATTATATTTTGTATTAGTTACAAACAAATTGGAAAAATGAGGATGTGGATAGGAGTCTAGGACTAGGAACAGGACATTGTTTATCTGCACACATATAAAGTCACCAGGGCTGCACACATATAAAGTCACATTGATTATATTAATTTGCAGTAACCTCAAGGAAATATAAAAACACTATTTCCTTTTTATATCTTAATAGATGGTGATTTAATTGTGCCGGAAATCTATGTAAAAAAGAGTCAGTAAATTACAAAGTACAAAAGTATAGATATGCAAGAGAATTTACAAGTTAGAAGAAGTCCAAAAGGGGTGAAATTGTTGAGAGATAAAGAAATTGAAGTAATTATAAGATAAAATTGAAAGAAATTTGAATTGACCAATAGAAGAGCAGTTATATTTATTTGGAAAAAAATGATAAATCCTCCGAATTCGGAGGATGCCGACCGGGTGTTGTGTGAGAGGGGGTGTGGACCCCACCACATGACATCCTGACATCATATGGTGGGGACCACACCCCCCCTCACATATTCCCTATTCGGCATCCTCCGAATTCTGAGAATGTATCATTGCTTTTTATTTAGTAATTAATAAGAAGCATAAATAATTCATTAATATATCTATATATATATATATATAAATATATAACTAATATAAATTTTTTTGTTGACCAATAGGAGAACAATTGTATTTATTTTGTAATTAATATAATACATGAAGCATAATTAATTCATTAAAAGAAATATATGACATAATGAGATATGGGGCCTCTTCTCCTATTGGGGGCTTTAGGCGACCACCTTAATTGCCTTGTGGTTGAGCCGTCCATGAAAGTCGCTTCTTAAGATTAGTTGCAAGGAACCTCCTTTTTCTGAAGAGCGAAGAATCTAAGAAGTACTGCAATGGAAATTTCATTCGTGTTTTTTGGTTGTTTAGTTTTTGCACTGGTGGTTGAAGGACAAGATCAATCAGGTCTCTGGCTTTCTTTATATATCCCTCATCGTTTTTATGTGTGTTATATGTTCATTCGTTTCCATTTAACTATATATATATATATATATATTTTCCTTAACTATTTATTGGAAATTTCAAAATTTTAAGAAACATGCATTTATTTATTGTATTGTTCCATTTAAAAATTTGAACTTACCCTCTCAAAGTATATATATTTTGTAAAGTTAGAAAAATTCCCTAAACTTAAAATGATGGGACAACTAAGAATAGAAAGAGGACAATTAAATTGAGAAAGAGATAGTGTATTTTAACTTTATATATTTATATATATTTTTGGTGATAATTTGTCAAAAATCCAATGATACAAATTCCAAATTCAAAAAGACATTCACCTTGCCCAAATTCAGCTATCCCAAATTCAGCTAAACTATGATCCCTTCTGGAACACCGCAGGCAATCCGATAATCCGTTAGTTAAACAAACTGGATATGAATTATGGTCGATCTGATCCGATAATAATTCAATCTGATATGATATTATATATAATGCTATAATATATAATATTTACATATTTATAATTTTAAATATATTATAGAATGCTATAAATTATAATATATAATATTTACATATTATTAAAATATTTTTTTATAATTTTTTTTTGTTATTTTTCCCTCTCTATTGTATTTTTCTTTAATGAAAAGTCAAATACCTACTTTTCTACCTTTTTTTTTTTATATATATTTTATTTTTCTTCTCTTTCTCTCTCTCTTTTTTTCCTAATCATTGTTTGCTAATCCCTCTTGATATTAAATTTTTTTAAACAAAAGTTTACATTTTTTCGGATCGGGTTATCGGATCGGATATTTGATTAGTAACAGATGGATTTAAACTAAATTATCCATCAGTGAATTGGACCGGATCATATATTACTCTTATTAGATTTGGATCAGATTTGGCCCTGATTCGGTCTGAATCCAATCCGGTTACAGGCCTAGCCAGCCAGGGATGAACACCAGATACAAGTGGGCTAATTATGACACTACTATGGTTGTATTTGGTTATTATAATATTACAGTACCATACGTATTTAGATGATATATAGTCCCTGAATGGCCCTAAAATGGTTTAGATGATATATAGTCCCTGAATGGTCCTAAAATGGTTAGGTTCTATTGGTTGCAAGCCAGTACGATCTGTACAACTCTAGACTTATGCTATGTTGGATTGCATGGAATTGGCACCATGAAATTAGAATTAGAAAAAATCAGTTCAAAGTTTATGATACCTATAGCCTTTCTTTCTTGTCAAGTGTTCTGGGTAAGTCTAGGATGGGAGCTTAACTATGCCAAAAGTTGAACGCAAAATTTGTGGATTATTCGGAGAGGGTCATGCCAACTCAGTTATTCCTTGAGATCGGCATATTTTTTTTTTTTTTTTGATAAGTAAGATCGGCATATTTGAAATGTTTGGATGGCTTAGCCTAAGTTTAGAGAGGTTGACTAGTAAATGGTCTATTTCTTTACTCGAGTTAGATGAATTATTATTATTATTTTGCATAATGTTGCTCCGGATGGTAATAGGGAATCAACGTCATTCATTGAAAAAAAAAAAAAAAAAAAAGGGAAAACAAAAATGGAATCCACGTCAAAGAATTTCCATGAATTGGAGGAAAAACTAGATTAAAATTTAATTGGATATGGTGATATTCAAATCCAGATTTCATACCTCCAAACACATCATAAGAAAAATTCGTTAAAATAAAGGTTAAATTCCACTTACCTCCCTAGAGGTTTGTCAATATCCTACATAGACCCCCTATATGTTTCATAATCTCACTTGCCTCCCCTGTTAGTGATAGCGGTCCAATTTGGTAACCGTAGTTTGTTTTTTTACCGTTTTGCCCATGAAATTTTTGCTGTCATTTCAGGCATTAGAAGGGCAAAATCGATCTTCAATCAATTTTCTATTGTTGACATCAGCAGATTCTGTTTGTCTCCGTCGGGTGCCTAATGGCAAGGGAATTTGTTGTATACACCAGAACCTCAAGAGAGGTGAGTGGGATTATGAAATGTAAAGGGGGTCTATTTGAAATATTGACAAACCTCAAGGGAATACATCCACGATGTGAGAAAAATAAGAGATTATAGGTTCTCAAGCTCCCAACTCTTTGTCTCTCACTCACCCTCTATTCGGCTTTTGCTATTCTCTTGTTTATTCAAATGGAAAAAATAAGAAGGGGGGGTGTTAATTTACTAATAGATTTATTTTTTTGCCATGGTCACTATCATAGGGTAAAATTATCAAGTGGGACTGAGTTGTCTATTATTATTATTTTTTAAGGTTTCATAAGCATTGATTGTGGGATAGCTGAAGGTTCGGAATATGAAGACAACACAACCAACATATCGTACACATCAGACGTGCAATATATTGACACCGGAACAAGTGCAAATATTTCTTCAGATTTCGTGTCGGATACTCTCATGAGACAGCTATTGAGGGTGAGAAGTTTCCCACAGGGAATCAACAATTGTTATACATTTAAACAAGCACAAGCCAAAGGTAGCAACTATTTGATCCAAGCAATTTTCATGTACGGAAATTATGATTCCAAGGAAAATCCACCAGAATTTGGGCTGTATCTCGAGGGGGATGAATGGGACATGGTGACATTGAGCAATGCATCAGATGTAGTAATTAAGGAGATTATACATGTCCCCATGACAGATTACATACATGTATGTCTCGTCAACACTGGCTCTGGGACTCCTTTCATATCTGCATTAGAGCTAAGGCAGTTGAATAATACCATTTATAAAACTCATTCTGGATCATTAGCACTTCAAATGCGGCTTGATGTGGGTTCAACAACCACCCAAATAGTCAGGTACCACACTTTCCTCTCTCTCTCTCTCTCTCTCTCTTTTTGTTTCAGTATGAGGGTAAGCCTTGTCACAACCATAAGGTTGCTCTATTGTGACCTGTACTTCATGGATTCAAAATTGGTAACAGCCTGTCCATGCAGAAGTAAAGTTGCATACATCTGACACTCTCCATCATCCGTAAGGTTTCTCGGAGGTCACCTGTTCGAAACCAGAAACAACCTCTTTATGTGGAGGAAAGACTGCTTACATCTGAGTCATCTAACCCTCTTCAGACTCCGTAATGGCGGGAGCCTATGCACTGGCTTTACCTTTTTTGTTCCACATCTTGTTGTCATTACTTGTACTAATAATGAGTATATACAATTTTTCATCTAGGTACAAAGATGATGTTTATGATCGGATATGGAAACCTTATAGTCAGTCTAATTGGGATTCAATGACTGCATCTTACAATAGTGGTACCTTGAACACCAATGGCTTTAAACCTCCATCATCTGTGATGATGACTGCTGCTAGACCTCCGAATGGAAGCAAATCCTTGGACTTCGTTTATCATCCTGCTGATTCCAGTCAGAAGCTTTATCTGTGCGTGCATTTTGCTTCACTTGAAGGAATTAAAGCCAACCAATTGAGAATATTCAAGATTTACTTGAATGGTGAATCCTGGCATAAGCCTGTGGTTCTTGGGCACCTGCTTCCATATAGTGTGTACAGCAAACAGTCCCTTAGCGGAACCGAATTGAGTATTTCAATTACTGTGACAGATAATTCCACACTACCACCCGTTCTCAATGCCATGGAGATATACATGATTAAAGATTTCTCACAATCACCCAAATGATGGTATGTCTTTGCATAATTTACGTCCGCTCTAATTTTTAGCTGTTATTTGATCACAGTGAATTCAAATCTATTGTATAATTGATTTCCAAAGTGCACATAAATTTTGAAATATGAGTAAGACAAAAATCTAGGATTGATGATCATATGCATGTATATTGGCTATACATGTATATAAATATATATACACATAGTTCTTTTTGGTAAGGTTGCTTTATTGTGACCTGGAGGTCATGGTTTCGGGTTAGGAAACAGGCACTCCACATGCGGAGGTAAGGCTGAGTGCATCTAACCCTCTCCACACCTCTCAGTGGCTGAAACTCATGCCCTGGGCTAGAAAAAAAAAAAAAAAAAAAAATTCTTTCTTGTTCTTCTTTCTCCTCCAGTTGTATTAGAACTGATCAATGATAATTTCTATCTTCTTTTGGATAAATATACTAGTTGATGCTATCAGGGAAGTAAGGTCAGTATATGGGGTAAAGAGAAACTGGCAGGGAGATCCATCTGCTCCTAAGATCTACTCATGGAATGGACTTGAATGCATCTACAATGACTACAATTTTTCTAGAATCATCTCATTGTGAGTGTGCACCCATGAAATCTAGCTAGTTTCACGGGCTTGATGTAAATTATAAAGATTTCTGTTTCTTAATTAATTAATGGCACAATCTCCTAATAGTTTATATCATTCTAACTTACAACTAGGAACCTCTCTTCAAGTGCATTGACGGGGAATATTGATACTTCAATCTCCCATCTCAAATTATTAAAATACTTGTAAGTAGAAGTTATTACTATAGTTTGCCTACTCAGAATTCTTATCTTGAATCATTACATGGAACTATTTTGGAAGATTATTTTCAATTGTACATTCAGAAGTTCCCATGGAACTTACACAGCCATCACATTGGAAATTGATGAGAATAAATCTCATTTGGTTGATTTTGAACCACAGTGGAAAAGTGTTGAACAGGGCTTGAGCCTAGGAAGTCCACAATATTGCTCTTCTGTTTGAAAATGATGGCCCTTGGGAGCTATGCAATGCTTCCAACTATCATGTGAAGAATTTGCCAAAGATGAAATTTTCTGTAACCATTTATGAATTCCGTTAACAAACTATCTCAGTTACTAAAATAACTCCTTTGTTACAGAGATTTGTCCAACAATAGTTTGACTGGTCCAGTGCCAGATTTTTTTAGCCAACTTCCTTTGTTGGAGACTCTGTAAGTCTTTTAGATTGCATTTTTTATTTTATTTTTTTTATTTTATTTATAAACACAGAAATGCAACTTTAAATGAGCTATGAGCTGACAAGCCTATTTGCTTCTGCAGAAACTTATGGGGAAATAAGTTCTCAGGTTCAGTTCCATCAGCCCTTATTGAAAAATCAAATAATGGATACTTCATATTGAGGTTCACTTGCTCAAAACCATGAACATAAATTTTCAAAATTCCGAACTTTTTTTTTTTTTCTTTTCTAATTAAATGGTTTCTACCAGAAAGAAAAAATAAATAAAGTCTTTTCCCGAACTACTTTTGGTCGGCTACTTGAATCCTATTTTTCTGTTTGCTAGTAGGGTGCTTGGACACACTGCCAATATTAGAGTAAAGGCTAGGGAATGTGATCATTCCTGAAATATATATTAGTACCTTAAAATAGTTCTGGAAAACAAGTTGAATTTTGTTTGTTTTTTGTTTTTTTCTTGCTTGCAGTTCAACTTTCCAGTTCATTCAATTTTTAAAATACATTTCAAATACTAAAAGAAATTCAAAGATTTCATTTTTAATTTTTTGTCTCAACTGTCTCCAAATAGATTGGATGGCAATCCCAATCTCTGCAAGACAGGCTCATGCAGAAAGAAGAAGAATGTCATTTTAATTGTGGTTGCATCTGTTGCTACATCATGTCTAGTCGTCTTAACTGCAATGGCTATCTTGTGGAGCTTTAGAAGAGGAAGAAAACAAGGTAGTTTATCTGTTCCATGGGTGATTTTCAAAAAGATATCACAACTGAAGTATCCGAGAGTCCATATCTGTTTATAACCCACATATCTGTATCATTTTATAGCTTTAGAGCTTGTTGAAAAGCAAAATAAAAATGACGAGACACTAGATAGTAGGAGTCAACAGTTTACGTATGCTGAGGTTGTAAGCATCACCAGCAACTTCCAGAAAATACTTGGAAAGGGAGGATTCGGAACAGTTTATAATGGCTACTTGGAATACAGAACTCAAGTTGCTGTAAAGATGCTTTCTCCTTCATCAACTCAAGGATCAAAGCAATTTTGAGCTGAGGTAAGTTCTTGTATATCAGCATTCAGCTTATTCTGATAGCAACTTTGACGCCTTTGGATAGATACAGGAATTGATCAATTTTGCTATGAATTGACGTCAAATTGAAATACAGGCTCAGCTTTTGTCAAAAGTTCATCATAGAAACTTGGTTACTCTAATTGGATATTGTAATGAAGGCCAAGGGATGGGGCTAATATACGAATTTATGACCAGTGGAAACTTACAAGAGCATTTATCAGGTATGAACTGTATTCTGCTGCATTGGATGATTTCCTAAGTTTCATCATTTGGTTATAAATAATGTTAAATACATAAAATACCTGTAGAAAAAGCAGTTTGAAGAACTGTAGCTCGAATTGATATTAGGCAGGGATAACGATTAGACTAGGTTGCTTGCTCTCTCTAAGACGGTTTGCACCTACAAAGAGTGATTTTGGACTGAATCAAATTATCGTTAAGACAGTTATGCGGTCATCAGTTTGAAAGATTTCTTATTCGTATTCAAAATCCAACTACAAAATGATCTAACATTATAATGTACCTAAATTATGGGTAATTTTATAATAATAGTTTGATAATATATTGATGGATAATTGGAAATTGGATAAGTGGTAAGTGTGATTGAATTTTTCAGATGAGTATAATTTTCATGCATGTCTAGAACTTCTATACATCCCAAATGCTAGCAACTTTAATATTAGCTTCTTTTGCCCAATTCTCATGTAGCTATAATTTCTTCTTAATTAATTTCTGAGAACATAAAAGTTTGTGCTATTATGTTGTTGGTACAGAAAGAAACACAGCTTTATTGAGTTGGGAACAGAGACTTCGAATAGCTGTTGATGTAGCACAAGGTTAGCCTGCTAATAAACATGACACATTTTCTGAACTCTGTACATTTCTTTGTTAGAGAGTAATAACAAACTTACATGAAATGAATATAATTATTTATTATTTATTATTATTATTTTTTTTTTTTGGTAACATTGGATTATTTACATAATGGCTGCAAGCCGTCCATAGTCCACAGAGACATTAAGACTTCCAATATATTGTTGAATGAAAAATTGCAAGCCAAACTATCAGATTTTGGGTTGTCCAGGTTCATGCCCCTTGATAGTGGAACTCATATATCAACTACAGTTGTTGGCACACCCGGATATCTTGACCCTGAGTAAGTTTCCGTCACTTCACTTTACTATATATATATATATATATATATATATATTACCAACTTTGTAATAACCTCATCAACTGATTTTTTTTTTTTTTTTTTCCTTTCTTTTTTTTGGCAAGTTATCCTCAAAAATAGTTTAGCAGTCTATGGATTTACTAATCTCTAGCTAGTTGTGTTGAAATTAGATCATAGGATAGTTTTATTTAAAAGAAAAAAATGAAGAAGCTAATGTTGCAGTGATATTTGTGGTAATTAAAAAATTTCACACATTTATCCCGGTTTGAATTTAAGAAATCTATGATTTGTGTTTCTCTAGGTCATTAAAAAGCTCTCCTTTTAGCTGAAATCCTAAATTACTGTGGCTTGTTCTTCTACTATCTTGTCTGCATGACCTACTGTGTGTGTAGGTTTTCAGAAATTTTTCAATAGAAGATGTCATCCATAGACTTAATTACGTCTTCAAAGAGCTTGAATACAAATGCTAACTGCTATAGGTAGCTTAGTTGAAAAGAAAAAAAAAAAAAATTAAGAAGAAAATAAGAGAAAAAGAAAGAGAACAACTCCTCAATGGCTAGTATTGATTTTGTAACAGAAAACACTTGTGTCACTGACACATCTTCAAAACCTAGTCATTGGAGTCACCAACGGAAGCTTAAAAGTGTATTACTTTAATACTTTGGGCAAGATGAACTTGGAGATGTAGATACTTACTTTTGCATTGAAAATACTTCAGGCCAGATGATTGGAGCTTGAATTCTTATGGATTGTTGTAAAGCATAAAGCACAAGTGACGAGAGATATTAAAGAAGAACACAGAGAGATTACGTGGTTCAAGGCTTACACCCACGGCACAAACAACAATTTTATAATATTCTCCCTTTTCATAGGGAATACAATGGTGGAGGCTTATTTATATAGGAGAATGAATGATGAGAATGGAACGAGATAGAAATAGGGAAACAACATTGGATGATTTTTCTCCACTGATTCCTCTAGTAACAATAAATTCAATAATAGGAAACAACATTAATTACTGGAGGATTTTTTTCTAATTCCTCCATTAAGTCTTCAATACTCCCCCTTAAGTTGGAGCAAGAATGCCCAAATTGCCATTGAGATGGTGAGTAGTAGCAACAAGTGCGAATGATGAAGAGAGAAGGCGAAGAACATTGCTACTGAACACACCGACAACCCAAACAAGTCAACAAAAACTGCAGGAGATGTGACAAAGGTGAAAAACAATGCTACCGAACACACTGGCAGTCCAAATAAGTTAATAAAAATTGTTAGAGACGCGACAAAGGCGAAGAACAATGCTACCGAACACCTTGGCAACACAAACAAGTCAATAAAAATTGCCGGAGACACGGCAAAGGCGAAGAACAGTGCTACCGAATACATTGGCCCAAACAAGTCAACAAAAACTGCTGGAGACACGGCAAAGGTGAAGAACAATGCTACCGAACATACCGGCAGCCCAAACAAGTATTACTAACAAATAGCACCGAGAAACCCTTAGCTACATTTCAGACATTAAGGGAATACCCCAAAATAGGGGTCCGAACCTAGGAAGAGAAATTAGTCTCTGATACCATGTTGTAAAGAATAAAACATAAGTGAAGAGAGAGATTAAAGAAGAAGAACATAAAAATTGTACCTATTCAAATTTCCTTCCAACCTACGCCTAATGGAATGATTTAGGCCATACACAAACCGTCATGTCTTCTCCCCCTCGTTCCCTAACAACTCCGTAGCGAAACGTGAGAGGGTAAGTTCCCAAAGGTTATCACCACATATTTCATAACACTTGTGTAATAACACCCAATCAAAATTCTCTCTCCTGTCTGTTTAATAAACGGGCTGGGTTAGTGTTGAAGATTCTTGACACGATTATTAAATGGGTTGGGTTTGGGTTTAAAGAAAAAGTGTTGTTTAATTCTTGTTGACACAACTTTTAGTCCTACATATATCTTCAATTTGTTTGTGTTTTGGAGATTCTAGTTGCAATGTGAAGAGTAGAAGAACCATTTGGGTGACAAATAAAGGAGGAAGCAATTTGGATAATGCCACATGGCACCGAAAGAACAAGAGCCAATCAGA